TTTGCAGGCTGTTTCATCCCCTCCACCCACCCACCCACACACACACACACACACACACACACACACTAGATAAGTGTCATATGTGTTGCGGCTCTGGATAGATCACATGAAAATGTGCTGGCCTGTATCAAAGTCTGCAGTCTATAAAATAAATTAAATTGGAGCCCTTAGGTTATTTGAGACCAATTACAGACCAATCCCAAATTTTGCTACGCCAGTATACTGATGATTAGAGATGGACACAATATGCAATTTGGGGATTCAGCCAGGTTTGGCATCATGCCTGCACAGGCACCACACACTCCCCTCTCCTGCCTCCTCTGTTCACTTGCTCATTCCCCAACAATGCATGCTTCCCTCTCTGCCTCCCCAGCTGGACTTCCTACTCATGGATCACAGTGTGCGCTTCTCTCCTCCACCTCCCCCCAGTGGCTGCTCACTCAGATAGGGAGGTGGGACAAGGAAGCCCACAGCACTGCCTTTCAGTGGACATCTGCCAGAAGAGGCAGAGGAGTGAAGCATACGCTGCAATCCATGAGTGGGCAGTTGCACTGGCGAAGGGGAGAGGGAAGTGTGTGCAACACCCAGGGAATGGGTGAGCATGCAGAGGAGGTGGGAGAGGGGAGCTTTTGGCACCCTCATAACACTGCAGTCCATGCCCATCTCTACTGGTGATCCGCATGCAATGGCATCACATAACATAGCAATATAATAGAAACATTACATCCACGTCAGAAGGAGAAAAATTATTAGAGCTGGGACACCATCATTAGGCAGAGTTAGAAAGCAGCTTCAAGCAACAGATACCAATGGATGCTGTGGAAGCACCTCCCCATCTGGGCCCCATGTTTTCAAAGCTAGCCCGCCGCTCTAAAGTGCACTGATGATGCCCTATGCAGAAACTGATGTAAGAATCAACTGCCATTCTGGTCTGACTCTGAACCAAACATGAGGGCAGGGGAACGTGTTTTCCTTTGTTTCAGGAAACAAAATGTCTTGGGTCCGCCCAACCCATTGGATGGAGACCTGCGATTCCCTAGTCTTGTTGATGAAACCAGTGTGACATAACTTGTAGTGTGAAGAGAGTAAGTACAGTTGCAGGACCATGTGTCGCTTACACACACACACCCATTTTGTTCTTGCATTTATTTCTGCCCTTAGCCTATGCAGGTTAAAGTTATACGTGCAGTTGCAACCCTGCAAAAAATAAGGTTTCTGAGGATGAAAACAGAGCCCAAGTGTATGCAACATGGCAGCAACTACATGTTTCAATTAACCCACAGTGAGTTTTGACTGAGAGTTCTCTGAAAACAGGTGCAAAACCACCCATTTGACTTGTCCTCCTTTAATGTGATTCCTTGCATTAAAGCAGGAGTAGAGCAGCTGCTCCTCCACCGGCCAGCCTGCTGGCTGGTGAGTGCTGGGAGGCTTCATGCTGACAACACCAGAGTTAGGGCAGCAGGTCACCCACTTGACATGTGGTCAAAACAGAGCTGGCGGGGCTGCCCTTCGGCAAAAGCAGTGTCACCAGCCAGCCAGTGCTGAGGTGGTCGCAAAGCCTCCCAGCACTGGTCAGGCAGAGATCTCATTCTTGCCTAAGGGTCAGCTCCAGCAGCTCCATTATTTTTTGCCACATGTTGAGCCCTAGCTCCAACATTGTCAGTCGCAGAGAAGCCTCCCAGCACCAGCTGGCCGGGGGCAGAAGGCCTGGTGCCTTTTTTTTCTTTTGATAAATGTGTCATTGACTTCACAATGTGCTGTATCTGTAGTTACAATCCATGCGTACATATGTATCAGCTCTGTGTGGGGGAAAGCTGTTTTATCTACCATAACACATACAACCTCATCTGAGATCGGCAGTCAAGCAGTGAGAACTTAGATGGGACACCACCAGGTAACACCAGTGATTTCTAGACAGGGCTAGGAATGAATCTGAAGCTCTGAGAAGTCACTACAATTCAACATTGACAGTATAGGTCTTTATGAACCAACTCAAAACTGACAGTGCTGGGCTGGATGAACCAATGGTGTGATTCCATATAAGGCAGTTGAGCAACTAAGGTATAATGCTCAAGAGAAGCATCTGCCATCATAATCCTGCCTGCCTCCCCCGCCCCCACCACCAACACACAGCTTTTTGGTTCACTCTTCTTGACTGCCTAAATAAGGCTGTAAGGACTTGTGAAATACTACTGGTGAGCTGTAAACTGGAGTGGTTTTTATCCCTTGCAAATGCTGTCCAATATATCCAGGACTATTCTAAGTGTTACAGTGTTCTTGGCAAGCCACAGGAGAATAACAAAGGTGCCAAATAGGTTCATGGCAGGAAAGCTGTTTACAAGGAAAGAGCAGACACCATAGCACTGACGCTCCCAATATGCCTTGCTTCTGAGAATATCCTGAGAAATGTCATGGCCCATCTGGCTAGCAGTGGGTGAAAAGCAAATTAGTAGCAGATATATTGACAAACACAACAGGGCAAAGTGGCAGTTCAGCCTCATTTTGTCCCTAATGATTTTCTGTATTGTTTCCACTGGCACTATTCTGAACACCAACTGAAATCAGGATATCCTTTTGGAGCAGACGTTGTTGTGTGGTGCATACTTATCATGCCAACAATGCAACTGAATGTAACTTTAATGCTCTGTAATTATGTATTAAAATCCCATCTAACTGGAAATATTCTTGGCCAGTGGGAATTGCTGCAGATAATTTCAGATGACCAAGGGATAATTTTGCCTGCTAAAAGGCAAAAACAAAATATTTAAAACAAATAGATTAGATAAAGCAAAGTTAATTCTTTGCATTAATCATATGCAAATCAAGACTGGGTTGTAAAGATTAATTTATGGCTTTCCAAGGGCATGCTTTGCCTTTTTAAAAAGAATTTTTAATATGTTCCTTAAAAATGAGATGAACGTCTATAAAAGCCCAACAACAAAGACTCGATAGGTAAATATGGGTGCACTGCGTTCTGAGCACAAACCAGAAACCACAGAAATGGTTTTATGAGCAAGTCCCATTGAAATAAAAGGGGGCTGCAAACAAAGTATAGACATAAAATCCTGCCTTTTCCCCAATGATTTTAAGGCAGCGTATAATCTCTTCTCCTCCCCACTGTATCTTCACAACAATCCTATAAGGTAGGTCAGACTTTGAGAGTATGACTTGCTCAAAATCACTCCATGAACGTCACCGCTCAAGTAGGGACAAGAATCTGGATCTCCCAAATCCCTGTGCAACACACTAACCACTATACTATACACTGACCACATTCTTCCACAGCGCCTATTAATTTAAGCAAGACTTGCACAAGGGAACTTCAGAGTGGGGTTTGGCCCCTTGAAACGTTCAATTTCACTCAACCTTTCCAAAAAAAGTGGCTCAAGAGAGATGATAATAATAATGATTTCTGCAAGGCCATGGAGCAGCCGTGGAGGAGTGTCTCTAGATTGCTCCAATCAGATGCATTCCAGGTTTTCCTCCAGCTTTGTTCTAGTCATTGTCTCACTTCCTTCATTGGTGGTAGAAACTTAGGAAGCTCATTTGGCGGCATTGAGTGAAAAGGGACTCTCAGGCGTAATTACAACTGCTTTGATTATTTCTCAGTCCCAGAGATCAAGTAAAACTTTAACACAATCACCTACAAAGTTGACAGAGAAATCCCAGGAGCTATCAGTAGAACATCTGGATCCAATAGCCTCCCCTTGGGTCAACTATCTTAATCAGATTATTTTATCAAGGGTAAGCATTACAAGGGTATGCATTACAAGGGTAAGCATTACATTTTATCAAGGGTCAGCATTACAATATATCACTGGCAATATCTGAGGCAGTATGCTTCTCTGTACCAGTGGCTGCAGGGTATGTGGCTGCACTCATGTTCTCTGAGGAAGCTCATCATAGGCATCTGACTGGTTACTGTACAAACAGAATGCTGGACTAGGTAAGTCTTTGATCTGATCCAGTAGGGATCTTCATATGGTCTGATGCCATTCTGCAGAGGCTGGAAGTCCCAATATGTCTTGGTTTTGAAGAAAGCACTACTTGGAAGTAGACGCTGGAAAGCATATTTTTGTTCACAGCTCAGATATGGTGTTGAATATATATAAAAATCTGTTTTCTAGATCTAGCCATTTCTCCTGTGAGGGTACCTACATCTGTGGCTCTTTTCTACCACAGCTATTATGTCCCTATTGCTTTCCTAGTTATTGATTTTTGCTTAATAATCTTCTTTTTAATGGTCTGACATGATCCTGAGTCAGCCATGGCTCAAAGTGGAAACGAAACCATCAGTCTGCACACTTCATTTGTTTGTTTTGATGATGACCTTGCCTTCCAAAGCCACTGGATACACTAACTCAGTACATACTGACGTTTCTTGATGATTGGATGCTTATGTGCCCTTTCTTGAGTCTTACCTGAGAAGCATCTTCCCAAATGACAACTATTTTACAGCCCAGAGCAGCTTTTACAAATATTAAATAAATAAATAAATGGTATGGGCCTGTTCTGTTTTTTATCAAGTTTTTATTAATGTAACTTGTCAAACAAAACCAACACTACAGAATGGCACACACTTCATCAACTCCTTTATGTTAACACAGACATAACTGTTTACTGATTTTTTAAAAACCCACCCTACCAAAACTCATATAATTGAAAAGTTACATTGGATTATTTCAGATCTATAAAGGTGCTCTTTACAACTTGACACCCTAATCAATGGCTTGGATGGGTTGTGTGGTACTGTTCCCCCTACCTCTTGCCACGAGTATCTGCGAGCAGAAATATCACATTCCCTCCAGGCTGAAAGGCCAAACACTACCAACAGGACATCCAACTACTTCCTGCTGTTCCTCAGTCCAAACAAATGGAATTGTTGATATTAGATGTAACATAGATTCTAGTCTTCCTCTAAATTGCGAGGCTTATCCATGAACAGGTAAATCAAGTGAAGGCATAAGTGAAAGAGTCAATCAGATTTTGCGTACACCTACTTTGGATGTCGAATGTCTGGCAGTGATCGCTCCAAGGCTATGTTGTTGCTCACAAAAATATTGAAACCGTTTTCTCGATAAGCAGAATCATCATGGTCTTCTTCTGTGAGTGGGTATGGCTTTCCTTGTTCACCTTTCCCTGGATAGGAACACAAAATATGTCTACTTATCACTGGTGCTGGAGAATCCATAGGTGGCAAATAATATGATCTATAGATTAATATGCAGACACTCGGTATAGGCACAACTTTTTCACAAGCATGCTGCAAGTTGAGCTTGTAGCATGAAACAATTAGAATGGTCTCTTCTTGGACAACACTTTTATCAGCTCTAGCCAATAGAAGTATTGGTGAAGGGTTCTGGGAATCACAATTCAACAATGTCAAGAGGCAACTATGCCACCCCAGATTTTGTGGAACTTCACTTCTCTTCTCATCACTGCCCATGATGATTAACACTGATGGAAGCTGCAGTCCACAAACATTTGTTTGTAACTAACTGCTTTAAATAGTGCAGCTGGCATCTAGACAGCCAAGCAGTCCACTGTGAAGAAACTGGGAAAGGATGAGCAGCCATGCTTCCTTCTGAAGGTAGACTTCTCACAAATATCTTCATCTCATTCCAATCTAGCAGCTACTGCTTTCTTCCTTCATTCTCTAATTGTGTTGCCAGAACATGGTTCTATTTTCCTCAAATTTCTTTTTTTTCCTCCCACCCAGCAATAATGGAAGGAGAAGAAGAGAGATTGTAGGCAGTGACAATTCATGGTGTGAGCACAGATGATACATCATCAAAATGGCAGGATGAGGCACCTGCCACCTCAAACTATGAGTTGATAATGAGGAAGCTTGCTTCACCCCACTAAAGTCTAAATCATCTAATTATATACTCTCCTTTATCATCTAGGTGGATATTTTTGCTTCCATTATTTTGATTCAGGATTGTTTTGTCAGTTTAAAGCAGACATGTATATTCAGCATTACTCAATTTTGGAATGATTCCACATGGTTCCACATGGTTTTGGAATGCTGCTATTCTGGTCAATTTAGAGCGAAGGGTTAAACCGCATAAGCCTCTGTGCTGCAAGGTCAGAAGACCAGCAGTCGTAAGATTGAATCCACACAACAGAGTGAACTCCCATCGCTTGTCCCAGCTCCTGCCAACCTAGCAGTTCAAAAGCATGTAAATGCGAGTAGATAAATAGGTACCACCTCGGTGGGAAGGTAACGGCGTTCTGTGCCCAGTCGCGCTGGCCACGTGACCACAGAAACTGTCTTTAGACAAATGCTGGCTCTATGGCTTGGAAACAGGGATGAGCACCACGTCCTCGAGTCAGACACGACTGGACTAAATGTCAAGGGGAACCTTTACCTAGATGTTGGGCTACTGAGCACCTTGACTTGGTTGGATGCAAGTTGCCACCTGCTACTTTGTCTCAGGTGACAAAAGGACTTAGGCCAGTCCTGACTACCATTTCAGTAAAATGCAGAAAGGGGCATTGTGTGTTTTGCTCCATGAAGGGCCATCTCTGTAGCTGTCCTTCCTAGCATCTTGTGAAAATGGGACCCTACAAACAATCTGAAGTACTGTACCTTTGTTTGTGGCATTCCAAAACCATCTGGACAGGGCACCAAACATGACTTAGGCTAAATTTAGATGGCTGCTTTAAGCTGACAAAATAATTCTGAATCAAAATAACGGAAGCAAAAATATCCATCTAGATAATACAAGAAAGCTCATTTATGACATTTTGTTATTCATAGCCAGCTTATTATTACTGTTCAAAGGGAAACCTTAAAATGCAAATATCACATAGCCTGAGGTAATTGTGGATACAAAGCTCCTGAGATAATTTTGTTTTTGAAATTCACACTAAAAAGATGCAAGGAGATCAACTATAACAGCAAATACTTGTTTACTGATTGCACTGCCCCATGAAAAACTGATTTCTTTTAGATTTTAACAGCAGCAACAAGCTGTGTATTTTAAAAATGCAACCTATGAAGCATTATTTGAAGGTCAGTATCTTCTTACCATTTACTACACTTCCTAGACAGCCCTCAGGAAGCTGTGAACATTTGACAACATTTGGCCAACAGAGGTGGCTATTGTGAAACATAAATGTGCTGTGATTAATGCATTTTATTTTGTTTTATTTTGACCAATTGCCTTTTATTTTATTTTATTTTGACTGATGATCTAGTACAATACTGAAATATGTTTTCTATCCATATCTATCACAACCTCTGTGTATGTATCTGTGCATGTAACATATATTTCCTAAATGTAAGGCAGCCAGAGTTAGCTGCGGGGAGCAAGATTCATCTCCCAATTTTTGTGGTGGCCTATCCCTCTGCTCTAGTCACAAATCACCCATGATGACAGGAGGCTCGCTCGCTCACTCGATTATCTATCTATCTATCTATCTATCTATCTATCTATCTATCTATCTATCTATCTATCTATCTATCTATCTATCTATCTATCTATCTATCTATCTATCTATCTATCTATCTATCTATCTATTTTCCCCTAAAATAAGTCCTAACCTAAAAATAAGCCCTAGTATGATTTTTCAGCATGCATGTAATATAAGCCCTACCCCAAAAATAAGCCCCAGTTAAGAGAAACCCCACCTCCATCACTGTGCAGCAACCAGAATAAGATGACATGACTGTATTTGAATAAACATAGATTGTTGTACATGAAAAAAATAAAACATCCCCTGAAAATAAGCCCTAATGCGTTTTTTTTTTTGGAGGAAAAATTAATATAAGATCCTGTCTTATTTTCGGGGAAACAGGGTATCTATCTATCTGTTCATTCATTCATTCATTCATTCATTCATTCATTCATTCATTCATTCATTCATTCATTCATTCATTCATTCATTCATTCCTCACCTTTTTCCTTAACAAGCACCCAAGGCAGCTTATATTATTAAAAACCAATATTAAAGCTAAAAACAATAAGTATACAAACATAAAAAAGTAACAAACAAATATTACTCTGATAAATTTTAAATACTAGTAGTAAAAACCCAGTCAAAGTAGTAATGCATAACAATCTATCTAAATATCACAGTCAGGTAGCCATTCATTCAGGGAAAGCTTGCCAGAAGAGAAAGGTCTTTGACTGTTTGTGGAAGGACAGCAAAGATGGGGCCAGTTTGGCCTCCTGTGGGAGGGAGTTCCTTCTTGCGAATAGCAAGAGTATATTTTTATTGGATTATTATAGTTATCACTAGAGCTATACCACAGCCATCAAATCTGTTCTGTATCCAGGGACATATAAGCTAGGGCTGAGTCACTCTGTATTCCAATGTGTTCCATCTCTAGGTCTGTGACATTACCTGTGGATTTCCCAATCTCCATTTTAAAAACAACCCATTCCCAGGAATGGGGAGGAAATGCAAATGGCTATGACTAGAGGAAGTTACAGAATACCCTGTGTGACCTTCTTGTTCAAAGCCCATAGAACAGTTATCCTATCAAACTTAGACATATACTGAATCCTTATGGTGGAAAAAAATGTTTCAGTAAAGTTCAGTAAACTAAAATAGAATATTCGAGAATGCAACAAAACAAAACAAAAAAGAGGCTACCTCAATTGTGACACATCTTTCTCTTCACCCAGCAGCTCAGAAAACAGCTGGCAGAGCAGCTGCAATGAGATACACAGTATATATGTTGTCAGTCTCAACTCTCCCGACTACCTCGGTGGTTCAAGAGTCCAAGAAAGACCTTGTTCTTTCCTGGGTCATTCAGTTGCCACTTGCTTTTTCCTTTGGTGCTGCCAGTAGGTCAGTCTATTGTATTAGAGAGGTTGCCTAGAGTGGTCATATAGACCAAATGGGTGGGATATAAATCAAACAGTGGCCCTTCTCCTCAATTCAATCAGTGGACTATTTTTTTAATTCCTTCAAATGCCACCTGAGATACAAAGACTTCTCTGTGGTATTCCTTTGCCCTGTGGTAGACAATGGTTACTTGCTCCTCCCTGTAATCCCCTTACAGTTTCGCAACTACCCTTAATTCAGTCCATTTCTGTGATTTTCCCACCTGCCTAGTTTTCAATGAGGAACTATATCAGTGGCCCTTCTCTGTTCAAACAGCGGACTATTCTTTAATTCCTTCAAATGCTGCCTGAGATACAAAGGCTCCTCTGTGGTATTCCTTTGCCCTCTGGTAGACTATGGTTCCTTGCTCCTCCTTGTAATCCCCTTACAATTTCACAACTACCCTTAATTCAGTCAATTTCTGTGATTTTCCCAAAGATAGTGCACCTGCCTAGTTTTCAATGAGGAACTATAGTTTATAAAAGCAGAACTGCCAATTGATTAATAAAGGGGTGGGAATAGCTGCCTATTAATGACTTATCCATTACAACCCTCCTACTGCATCAGGTTGTTTGGGGAAATCAGAGGTGGACATTTGCTGCTGGTTGAGGGATGGAGGAAGGTGGGCCGAGAATGACACTGCAGTTAAATCCTGCTGGTATATCTTTTACCTGAATAGTTTCCCAAGCAAAATATTATGAGTATGTTGGGACTCAGGATCAAATCAGACCATACATTTAACACGTATTCAGAAGATGTGATGAAAAGTTTCTGTTTGTCACAGCACATGGTTCTACTACTATTGAAAGTGGCCTGCTTTCCTTATGACTGATTCTTAGAAAGTATACACCAGATTAGTCTGCAAGTCTGATTGCTGGACCATGTACCTCTCAGGAAATCCCATTGTGTGTGGTGGCAAAGGTGACAGTTCATTGCAGCAAATACACATACAGATCCATGTAGCTCCACAAAATACACATTTAGTTTGACCCTCACTGCTGATACAAACACTAATTCATTTCTGAACATTCTGATCCTGTTATGCAAAAAGCATGCCACTGTTTGGGAAGAAGTAAAAGCAAAGCAAAAGCAAAGTGTGGTGCTTATATACCACCTCATAGTGCTTCAAGCACTCTCTGGGTGGTTTACAAGTTAATTATGCAGGCTACACATTGCCCCCCGCCCCCAGCGAGCTGGGTACTCATTTTACCGACCTCAGAAGGATAGAAGGCTGAGTCAACCTTGAGCCGCTACCTGGGATTGAACCCCAGATTGTGAGCACAGTTTTGGCTTCAGTACAG